GCAAAATGGAATAAGAAGCAAAATCCAACAATATGTTGTATACAAGAAACACACCTAGCGTAAAAAGAAGCCCATAGACTGAAAGTGAATAGGATAGAAAACAATTCTCCATGTGACAGGAGCCCAGAAAAAAAAACAGGGGTAGCAATCTTATTTGCAGACAAAGCACATTTCAAACCAAAACTGATTCTAGTATTACTGATGTAGGACGGTACTGTATCATACCTCTGTGAATGTAAAATATCTTGTACCTGCTTTATGATGCACAGTAGTGACTGTGCTTTATCAGAGCTATATTTAATGATATTACTCTAGAATGTTCTCCTTCCAGATGATGATTAAGATGCTAATAAAAAATAATGGTGCCAGGTACCACAACAGCAACAGAACTTTGCTGTTTTCTGGATAGTATTCTTTTCTTTGTTTTTTTGATTGGCTTTTTTTTTAATGGAATGTGCTGAATGTCTATAATTTTGTTCAGATGACTGCAGAACCTGGAAAAGCTGTTGCTGCTATCGATGCATAACATACTGCTATTATCAGTCTTTTTATATAAATATAAATATACACACACACACACATATATAAATTGAATTTTGGGAAACTTTACGGTGCTGTCAACTTTGGAAAAAGTTATCCCGACTTACTGTGTTGAGTTGGCTTTGTACGGAAATGGACAACCATATTGGTCTAGAAATGTTAATTAAAAAAATTTTTTTTCCATGTGTACAGGGGTAACACATTGCACTAAATATGTAAGGTCATATCTACATGGGTTTGATTACAGAAACTAATAAAGTATTCTCTAAATAATGAAAAAAAGAATAAGAAGACTACAAGAGCAAAAAGCAATTTAAATATGTTGAGGGACCATTTTCATCTCCAGAATTAAGGATTATTTTAATGTCACATCATTGCCTTTTCTCTTTTACTTTCCTTTTTAGTTTTATTTCAGGATTCCCTATTTTTAATGTTCATACAGAGATTTCTTTAACTGAAATAGCAAATAGTTTCTCTGGTGTGAAAAACTATAATAGTACACAGGATCCTAATGAGATAATTAATAATGTGAAATAGGAAGTAAAGGGCTAAAGGTGTAGGGAAAGTGGGAAGGGTAGGGGAAAGGTAATAAGGGAGAGGAAAAAAATATTAGAAATTGAAAAAATGGAAATAAAGTGTTTGTAAATGGGGAGGGGAGGAAGGGGTGTACAGAGGGCAGGGACAAGGGGAAAAAATGAGAATCAAGTCCAATTATGTAAAGGTACAGGATCCCAATAATAAATGTAACTGTATTGTATACCTAGATTGTACCAATAAACTCAATAAAAAGAAATAAAAAAGATTATGATTTGACAGACTGTGAGACATTAAAAAACATTTAGAGTATGTTTAAAGAAAACATAGGACATTACTTATACACAATGATGATGACCATGTAAATACAATAAATACACAGAAGTGTGGAACTTCCCTAGTTTACAAATGGTGTTTTGTTAGATGAGGAACTTACCAGAACTGGTTGACTCTCGGCAGAGTTGTTATGGCCCTGTCCCAGATATTTCGGGCGTGGTTGACTTGGCGGTTCTTCATTTCCATTTCTGCATATTTCAGCCAGAGTGTGATATTTCGATAGTCTACATCTAAAGCACGCTCGTATATGGATCGGGCCCTTAAGAAGATTTGGAGGTATGAGAAACAGTACATATAACATATGTAGCAGTTATTTCAAGCTATCTGCATCTGGGTATCCACCATAAGCTGGGCTCTGATAAAACGTGAGCAGAATATTCTCTGGTACCTTACAAAGTCTACTAGAATGATAGACAAGCATAGAACTATAATGCAACAAGATAAAACATGATTTTCATATCTACATGGGAAGCAGAGTGGAAGAAGCAATGTCTGGAGAAACAGTCTGAGGAATAGGCAATGCAGGAGTTGTGAACCTGAGGAAGAGTTCTGGCTGGCCAGGAGGCCCATGCTCATGGGAAGGGCGCTACTCCACAGCACAGCATTGCCAAGTCACAGCAGAAGAAATGATGTATTCAGGCAGAGGCAGATACACAAGACAGCAGAAGCAGAGGAACAGAGGTGAATTCCGAAAGGCTGGATGACAGGAAGGGATGGGTTACAATTTTTATCTTACTGGCCGTTGGTTTTCAGCTCAGTACTTTTACTTTTGAAATCTCAGTAACGTAGAAAGCAGATGAATACAGCAGACTCCATACCTCTCTATGTAGAGTGTGCTGGCAAGACCCACCTCCCTCTTTCACTGGGACCATCATTTTAGTGCCTCTGAGGCCTCTCAGAATAACCATGGGGTTCCATGGAACACAAGCTGACAACCGTCACCAAAGGCACACTCTTTAACTTGTGCCTTAACTTTTTCCACTTTTTAACCTGTTTATGTATGACAACTTTGCACATGAAATTACACTATCAGCAATAATTTCTTCTTTTTGTATGTTAATTTGTGACATCCTTATATACAAAATTGTCCACTCAATAATTTTACCTTTGAATTTCCTTTAGACTTTCTTCCCATTGTGCGTACTTTATCCAGTTACTAATCACTGTCCTGTTTTTTCTTATGTTATCTTCAAAAGTCTGGGAGAAGGCAAGAAGATCAAGTTAATGGGAAAATGATTACAAATGACACCACCCTTTGTCTGTTGTAAACTTCGTACTAAAAAGGTATTAATTTTGTTCTTATTTAAGAAAACTACAACCAGGGACCCCTGAGGAATAAGCAACTCACTATGAGAGGTTACAGTCACAAATATCTTTTAAAGTCTTCCATGTAAAGACAAAATGATTGCTAATTCAAAAAATGAAGAATTAGCAGACTTGTTGCTGTTTTCTCCTGTTGCTCATGGCACCAGATACTTTTTAATATGTTCTTCAGAAGAAAACATTTTTGAGAACTACTTTAAATCCTCTTAGTAATTCTTAGAATTTTATACATATTTCATTGAAAATAATTAAGCAGATACAAGATTAATGGTTTAAAATAATCCATACTCTAGAGGTCGAATCAAACCCCACAGGCTTCCCATGGTTCTTTCCGCATGACAGCTCCTGAAGCACATAGAAGTGCCCAGTGTAGACCTGGCAGGTGGCCTGTACCACTCTTCCAAGTGTCAATGGTTCCATCTGTCAAACAGCCACCCATCTTGGTTCAGCACCAAAAATCATGTCTCTGGCAGATTTAATTTCTATTAAAGAGACCACTCATGATAATGTTTTATACCATTCAATGAAATGCAATAATCAGAAGTTGTATTATTCAAGTGGTTACAAATACTAATCTCATCATATGTTATAGACTCACACCAGTTTGACAGACTGTAAGATACCATGCTGACTGACCTTCCTTTTCCTTAGCTTGTAATCATTTAATTCTTCTTCATCTGTGATCTTCTGCTGAGGTGGAGGTGGCAGAAGCTCAAGTTCTCTTTCTTTGGCTTCTCTTAAGAGTTGCTCAGCAGTTATCTGTACTTCAGCTGGGGCTTTGTTTTTCACCTTTTAGGAAAGAAGACATTCCTATTTCTGGTAGAAGTTCTTCATACAAGGTTTAAAAAGGTTTAAGAAACAAGCATACACTTTTTAGAATGTGAACTTAAGTATGATTACAAGATGCCTTTTTTGTATGACATATTCACATTTCTCCATGAGGCTGATTAAAATTTTTGTTTTCTGTCTCGTACACAGAATCAATTATAAAGTTAAAAGTCTCAAGAGAAAAAGGTGGCAAAAATAAAAAAGGAAATTTTCCCTTTTAGATGAGCATAATAAACTCTATGGCTATTTAGGTAAAATTCTCACTGGAGGCTCTGCTTTATCAGGATGTAAACAACCTCTATTTACAGAATTCTTCAACTTATTTTACTGCTCCTAGTGGACCAGTTGGTTGGGTTCTTCACTGTATTTTAAGTCAAATGACTGATTAGGGTCTCAGTCTCACTATGTAGCCCAGGCTGGCCTCAAACTCATGTCAATTCTTCTACCTCAGCCTCCCAAGTGCTGGGATTATAGGCAGGTACCACTATATCTGGTATTTTAAATCAATTTAAACTTATTCTGTTCTCATCATTAGACTCTATGCTTCTCGAGGTCTCAGAGTAATGCTGTCCAACACAGTGACTGCAAGTCTTTTTGGTGAGGCCAAAGTGGGATGGGCTGTAAGTGTAAAATACACACTGGCCTGTAAAAGTTAGTATACAAAGAAAAAAAAAAGATCAAATTACCTCATTGAACGTTTTTATATTGATGACATGTTGAAATTATAATATTTTAGATATATTACATTAAATACAATATATTATTAAAATTAAAGTCACCTGATTTTGCTTTTTCAAATTTGGCTATGAGACAAGTTTAAATTACATTATGTGGCTGGCATCCAATTTTTTTTTATTGGGTTGAAATATTTATTGGCTTATATATTCTCCCTTGGCATCCAATTTTTGTTGAATCTGTGGTACCCAATAAAAATTTATGGGATGGAAAGGCCAGGTATAGTGGTACAACATGAAGTCCCAACTACCAGAGAGGCTAAGGCGGCTGGATCATTAGAGCCCCTGGGACAGCATGGTGAGACCATATCTTGATCCAAAAAAGTAGTTATAGAATTGACTTGTAAGTAATATGACTTAATATCATGTGGAATAATGATAGCTCGCTCTTAAAGAGCACTGAGTGTTTATATGCGAACCTGTGGAAGTCATCTAAACAAAGTACCTAAAGGCCAGACTGGAGGGAGCTCTAAGCTGAAAATAACAGATTGGAGGAAAGGTATCTGTAAAAGGTGAGCATCAGGCTGGCCACATATTCAGTCCTTGGTCAGCATCAGGCATCCATGAAACCATCAGACAAACCCGTTTAAGTAGCTCACATTATGCTACCATCAAACTCTCCACTACCTGCTGAGCTAACTCCCGTACAGCCTTCACTCTCAGTTGAAGTGTGATGTCCTCGGCGAGGGTGACTGATCCCTCGCTCAGCCCTGAGCCCAGTTACACCCGCGTGTACTCCAGACAGAGAACGCTTCATTTCCCTAGAAAACTGCTAAATGCAAAGCTCCTCCTCCTCTAAACATAAGCTCCGCCAGCGAGCCGCGCGGTGGACGGAGGAGCACAGGATTCCGGGTGATAATAGCACCCGGGGGAACACGACCCCCGAAGATGACAGCATCCCTCCGGTCTTCCCCTCGGGCTCGGGGGAGCTTCCCCGGACAGCACTCTTCCTCCTGGGTACCCTCTCCTGGGCCCCGCAGTTCCTGCAGTCATCTACCTTGGCCACCTTGGGAATTCGCTGCTTCCCGGCCGCTGTGGAGGCCGCCATGTCGGCGGGGCCAACCTCTCAGGATCAACGCCCGCGCCAGACACCAGAAATCTGCTTAGAAGGATCGCCGACTGCAAAATTTAAAAACAAGGCTGCGCCCGGAACCGGAAGCGGAACTCACCGCTGACCTATGACGTCACGCACGCGCCGCGACGGAGGCGGTACCGTTTCCGTGGTAACCAGGCCACGCATCCACCCGAGCCAGGGTGGAGTGAGGCCTTTGGAGTGGCTGAGAGGTGAGTCCACGGCGCAGTCCGCGGGGCGACGTGATGCGAAAACGAATTTCCCCGTTTTTAAGTTCACTGATTAGTCTATAATAAATCCATTTTCATTAGGGAGGAAGAAGAGAGAGAAAGACAGACTGAGACACTGAGGAAGGTTAAAGCCATGGTATGGCCTCCTATTCCTGTCAGCAGCATTTCCCAAAGTGTTGTTGTAGAACTTTTCTCCACTGTTGCTGCCATTAAAGATTCTGCTTAGAAAGGATTGGGAAAGTACATCACTGTTGTGGAGTTTCTCAAAGCCTTTAATGGTTGTGTTAGTCTCAAGCAGGAGAAAAGGTGGGATACACGGACGGAGCACTGGAACATGGAGATAAGAGCAAAAACAGCTTTATTGTCAGTGGCTCAGCAAGGTATTTCTGTCGCCTTGAGAGCATTGAACAGAAGTTTAGTTTCATTTTTATACCTTTATATTTCTATAGAGCTTTTTCTTAATGGAGGGGAAACAGCAGCCGGGAAACAGCAGGCAAGGGTTATACAAGCAGATCAGCAGAAGGGAGGCGGGAAGTATGGCAGGACTTTCCAAGACCCTTATGCTCTGGAGAACTTACAGTATAGCGTAGTCATGACTACTGAGTGCCTTTTATAGTGATGGGGATGGTTTCTTCTCTCAAGACTTTCCATCACTGTGACAAAATACCTGAGATATCAGCTTACCAGGAGAAAAGGTTTATTTTGGCTCACAGTTTCAAAGGTTTTGGTGCATGGCTGTATGGCCCTGTTGCTTTGGGCTGTGGCATCCCTGTATTTCCTGGTGGGAGTATATGACAGAGGAGAGGCCCAAAGGGGAGAGAGAGAAAAAGAGAGGGGGGGCAGAGAGAGAGTGTAAAGGCCCAGGTCCCACTATTCCTTCAAGGACAGTCCACAGTGACCCAGCTTCCTTCCAATACACCTCTCTTCCTAATGAAGACACTTCTAGGAATGCTGTAGGCAAATGACCAAGCACGTGTGCTTCTGGGGATACTTCCAACCATAGCAATGGCTGAGGTGACCCCTCAGGAAGACTTTTCATCCACTCATTTGGCCACATAACTTTTTGTTTATTTATTTGTTTTGTTTTCAAGTATGTCTCAAGATTGCTGTCTTCAGGGTTCCAGCTTGGGGAACTCTTTGGGAGATGGGTAGCAGCTCCCAGTATTTCCCTGCACCTCCTGACCACATGTTGTAGGTGAAGTGGGTGATTAAATATACTGGACACTGAATCAGTAAATAAACCCTTTCAGTGTTTTTCAGTCCTGTTATTAGAAGTTTTTGAAGCACTTTTGTTGGAAACAAAGAATATAGTTGGGATTTCTAGACAGGTGAAATCTCAGAAGCTTTATTATCCAATGCAGAATCACTTCAGCTGGCTTGTGGAGACTGTCAACACAAACACTCCCAGGGGACTCCCAGTGTGTCACAGCAGTATTCTCTGACCATGTGGAAATTGAGTTAATGCCTGGTTTGTGAGTTCTGTAACTGAACAACTTGTCATCTCAGACTAATGTGCACTATTTTCTCTTTTGGGGACAGGAGACGAAATGTCTGTACTCACTTCTCCCAGAGGAAAGGTAGAAGTGGTTCACTGCCGAAGAACAGAATCACAGGATATTTATTGTATCCAAAAACTCATTAGAAAATTTACCCAGAAGCTGTTTGGAAGGCTTAATATCATCTATCTTCTGTAAGTACATGGCTAAGTAAGTTCAAGCATATTCATCAGTGTTGTCACCCACCAGGAAGGAACCCCACTTCCTTGTGGGACTTACTGAGGAAGTAGGCAGCTGACTGCACACTGAAAATTTGTGGCATGAAATCTCAGGCGACAGGAGTCTTTGTGTCCTATAACCATGTGCAGATTGCAAAGGCTTCTTGTGGGCTTTGGATTCAAGAAGACTTGGGTCAGATCTCAGTGGCCCCACTCACCAAGAGTCACTTGGAATAGGTTGGTAATGTTAACCACTAGATTTGGGGATTTTATCTTATCATGTCAGGCTCTGTGCTATGCCAACATTGTCTGTCTTAGTTACAGTTTTCATTGCTGAGACAAAATACCTGACACCCAAAGTTAAAGAAGGAAAAGTTTATTTAACTCACAGTTTGTAGAGGTTTCATTTCATAGTTGGCTGGCTTCAAGACAGGGTGGCATGGAAGAAGGGCGTTATAGAAAAGAAACAGTTTATGGTAGACAGAAGGTACCAAAGCAGCAAAGTAGAGAAGCAGCAAACAGCAGCAGCAGCCCACTTCCTATCCCTTATATTGTATCCAGGCTACATGCCCTTTGGACAGGTAGCACTCATACCCAGGGTGGGTCTTCCCATTACCCAGAACTATGCCAAACCAATCAGTGGAATAATTTAGTAATCATACACCCTTTATCCCAGCATCACATCCTTATTCCCAGTATCACACTTCTGGAAAGATCCAGCCACCTCTGAAAAGCCCCACCTCTGACCACATGATGCTCTAGACATAAGCCATAGCACCTTCTTACTGGATAATTTTGACTTTTCTCTAAGTCCCTACTGTTGTGCCCATTTTACAGGTAGAGTATGAGGCCTGTGCATGGTCAGCCTGCCCAAGAGCACCAAACCTAGATTTGCTCTTAACCACTGTTCTTTAAAATATGAGCTGATTCTTTAAAAATTCTTTTTCTTCCTGTTTTGTTTGTTTCTTTTTAGATCTGTGGACAGCAGAACATAGATTTTTTTTTTTACCTGTTCCTCATTTTTAATTGAAAAAATATTACATAGACTAACCTAAGACATTAAAATTGATAGTTTTTGATTAGCAGACTGATAAATGTGGTATAAATTGGCATGATTTTACTAGAGAGCGGTAGGGCAACATGTATAAAATGTGTTGAGATTTTATATACACACACACACACACACACACACACACACACACATATGCATTTTCCTGCCAGAAAATATATATATCAAGAAAAGAGAAATTTGTATAAATACTTTAATACTAAATTTTTGAGACATACTGAAATTAATACAAGTTACCTTTGATTACAAGAGCTGCTCAAAGTGGTTAACTTCTAGACAGTTACTAGTACAGGCAGCTGCTGATGTGTGTATACATTTTTTGGCAGACTCTATATAAAATGAAATAATTTCAGTTTTTGGCATTATGGTGGACCAAGCACCTTATGATGTCCTCTAGATGGAAACAGCTAGCATTGATATACATACATATACAATCACAAAAGTGAAAGATTGTACAGAGAACATTATCAAACAAAAGTCAGAAACTTCTTAAAATACACTAGCTTTTTCCTTGAGGATTTTTGCCATATATAGAAATCTGATGTTTCTCTTTGACTGCTTTGTAAACAGCAGAAGATAATTATTCCCTTTACCTAAGAAGGGAAATGTGTGATCCTTTAGTATAAAAGTGTAATGTTCATTGTGAGGAAGGACAAGGTAGAAACCCCCTGCATAGACAGTAAGGCAGGCAGCCACCTCAGCAAGAGGGCAAAGGCTCCCCCGAGAATTCATAAATGCATGCTGATTTGAGATACTTGTTAAATATCTGTATGCTTCCAAAAATCTTCTGGGATTTTTTTTTTTTTTTTTTTTTTTTTTTTTTTGTGACCGGGGATCAAATTCAGAACCTTGCCCTTTTGAGGCAGTGGCAGAACCACTAAGATAAATCTCTAGCTCCAAGTTGGGAATTTAATTACAGATAGTTACAGAATAGTAGTGTATCCAGGAGACTCACTTAAATAATTGCAGAGGACGTCTGAAGAGTTGCAGCCTTGGCCTAGACCCCGGATGACACCCACAGGTAACATTCTGAGGAGCACAAGGTCAATGAAATCAAATCAGAAGGAAACATGCACCATTAGTGAGAGCCAGTGATCACAGAAATTATACAGGAGAATCAGACTTGCAAAGCTTTCAGAAACTTAATGATAATATAAAATAACTATGTTTACTGTGTCTAAGATGAAAATATAAGTTGTCACAATATGTGACCAAGGCCATTATGGAGGATGAAATGATTACTCAGAAATGAGAGTTAGTTCAGTCCCTGAGAAGCCCAGCAAGACTGTTTCTCCACTGAGAACACCCAGCTATTAGAGAGATTCTAGGATAAGAAAAAACTTGCAGGCCAAGAACTTTCTGGATTTTATTTAGAATATCAGTGTAAGAGGGGGGAAAAAAACCCAAGAGAAAAAGCAGTTCAGGCCAAGAACAATCTCAAGGCTAAGCAGTTTTTCTTGGGGAAAAGGGAAGGACCAATGGCCAGACACAACATACTTTACTAATGTAAACTTCTTGTTATTTAACCATTCAATTCTCACATAGCCTATGTGCTTTTGCCCAAAACTTTAACCATTCACTCCTCGTAGAGCCTATGTGCTTTTGTCCCACAGTTTAATCATTCAATGTATTCATTCACTCCTGGCCAGGTCCCTCATAATAAGCTTAAAACGTGACCAAAGAACAAAGTGGTCACAAAATGAATAATCAGGTTTGAATAAAAGTCAAATAGACCATCTGGAAATGAACATACAGTTGAAATTAAAAGCTCAGTGGATGACCTAAACATCAGAGATGCAGTTAAAGAGAAAAATAACAAGCTAGAGGATGAATACAACTGAGTTAGTCAGAATTCAACATACACGCACATGTGCACACAATACAGAAAGAAGATATACAAATGGAACACTGAAATATTAGGTTTAATGAGACTTCTAGAAGGAAGCAATAGAAAGAAAGTATATGAAGAGAAAATGACTGAGAATTTTTCAAAGTTGTTGAAAAGCAGCTATTCTTGGATGCAGAAAATTCAACAAACCCCATACACAGACCCACAACTAAATACATTATAATGAAAGACA